AAATTATATATATATATATATATATATATACGTAAATTAAAAAGTCCTTCCGAAGCGGGTGACGGGATTTCGATTCCGACTGCCGACAGCTTCTTACGGGCGACCCCCCAAACAATCTTTTTCTTTTTCTTTTTTGTGCCGACATACTTTAAACTTCAAAAAATCATAACTAACTGTAGAAACTTCCACAAACTATGAACTAATTTGGATAGTTTTGATAGCTAACCACAGTTTTCTGATTAAAAATCTCTTATTTAAAAAATAGATATAAACATATATATTATGTTATTTTTCAAATTTGTGATCATAAAATCGCTCAAATGCCTTTTAATATATGAAAGAATTTTTTTTAAATATGTAAGAATGTGTTAATTCCAATATTTTGAAAATATTATAAAATTCTTTTGCATCTAGTAGCATGCTATTCATGGTTTTAAAAAATTTTAAGTATAAAAAATTCATAAATTTCATTTAAACCATATTAAGGTATTAAATACATTTCAAAACTATCTCACTGATAGCATCATGTTCGAGTAACTATGATATTATATTCCTATTTGTATAAAAATTTTAACTACAACTTACAAAAATCACCCATTGAATATTTAATAATCATTAAATTTTGATTTGAATTTATCAATTAAATTTGGATTCACCTCACCCATTTACAAGCATTTGCAAGATATTTAGAAATTGAAAAACTTAGGAATGCCTATTTTCTTATTTCTTTTGTTGAAATGCCTATTTTCCAAAAGTATGAGAATTTTCCTTAATTTCTAACATTTCATTACAAATTAAACTATAATTTGCAATCAATTTTAAAAAATATAAATTAAATCTTAATTTGATTTTTTAATAAACTTTTAATATAATTTCATCTAGATAAAATTAATAAATCTTAAATAAAAATGTGTATCAATCATAAAATTTCATTTATTTGGAAAAAAAGGAAAAAATAAATAAACAGGAGTTTATCCAAGAAATTAAACTTCTTGATTTACTTCTTTGTCGTGATCAAATTTTCAATTTTGATCAATATTTACCTCATTATAATAAATTTGGGCAACATTAAACTAAATGAAATTGTGCTAACCAAAAAAATTGATTTGTGCAACACACCTTATGCCTCACAGTTTTGCAATTACAGCGACTACATTCCACCTTATGGCGCTAGCTAGGGGACTAAATTGAACACATTACAATGTAATGAATCAAAAAATCCTTAAATACCTAATGGACCTCTAAATCAACAAAACTTTGCAAATTAAAATTCGATTCCAAAATTCCCTGTTTTAACATCATCTTTCAAAATATTATCATTTGACCATGACAAGGTTAAAATTAACAATAAAAATGTTTGGTTGACATCTGTGTAGATGAAACAATGCTTGTCTTGTAATTCAATGCTGTTGGCCGTCATGGAGCTATTCTACCAACTAAAAAGAGATGTTGTGTTGTATGGTTGCAAAGTAAAGCTGCAATTTTCAATTTTTAGCTCTAGGCATGGATTGTAACTTCAATGTCAAGCGAAATCTAGCTACATATCTAAGTCTTTGTGGTGTATACGTAGAGCTCAGCTGCAAATCTATCATTTTGAGAAAGCCAGGCATCATTTTTCTTATTAACGTTTAAATCTTCAATGAAAACTGCCTGTTTACAGCTTTTCATATAAATTGTTCTAAGATTGCCTAAAACTGCTTTATTATAAGGCTTTTAATGTTAAATTTTCTTTATTAAAACTGATCCTACTGAAATTTAGTAAACTATTTTTCAAGAAAAATCATTATGTATTTGCATGTCTCACACCTTTTATGTTTACATGTGTATATATATATATATATATAGCACTTTGGTGTTTTAAGCCTAAAAAGTGGAGATAGTGCTATTTTATGTGATATTAAATATTTGAGTGTTATGTGTGAAAATTAGAAAGTTTAGGTCTAAGATATGTAAATACATAAGAATTGTGTGCTATATATGTAAATATGTAAATGCCCCATAAAAGAATAATTCAATTCAACCCTACATAGTTTGAATAAGTCTAAAGATGCCAATGATGATGATGATTCTATTACGAGAACCTTTGACATCCAAACTTAAATTTAATATAAAATGAAATGTCAAAAAAGCTAAACATACCAAAATTGTCACAGCCTCTTTGACAATACCAGCTATTGTTACTGTCACTGCACTAGTTGCTGAAACAAGGATATACTCGGTTAAAACCTGCAATCAACACAAAAACGATAATTTCATGATAAAGGTCCTTGAAAAACTCATAAAACTATTACAAGCACCAAAAATATCCTCAAAATCTCTAAAGAATATCATTAAAAGAATGCCTAGCATCAAATGATAATAAATTTATGGTCAAAACAACTAAGAAATTGCAAACTGATCTCTCACCATAAAAAATGCCAATGCCCCTCCAAAAAGCATCAACAAACTGCTTATAATCATGTGCTTTGAACTATCAAAGTATTTATTAGACTTAAGATCATGCCATGGATCGAGTAAAAGAGAGAGAATTGCTGTAGCAAGTGCCATCACAGGAGTCACGTGGCTCATTAATGTGATGGGATTCTTTAGACCTGAGTCGAACAAGAGGAAAAAAGGTCAGATGCGGAAAAAAATATTTTTTCGATTAGCCCTACAAAATTTAAAAGGCTGATTTATATACATACCACTCAACTCCTATGTATTTACATAACAAACATCTAAATTTCAATTTTTACATACCTACTACCACCTTACCAATGCATGAAAAGGTAAATTTCGCTTTGAAGTTTAAAATGGTGATATCACACACACACATACACACATACATAGGCATGTACACACATACATGTAGATGTATATATTGTCAAAGTTTTGAGAAAAATAAGCTGAATGTTGAATAGGAGGCTCGATGCCTTTTCCCTTTGCTTTCATTCCATTAAATAATAATCTTACAATCTATTTTAGGTACAAAATATTATGTATAATCTATTTCAAGTAACTTAACAATATATATTTCTAATATAAATATTCAACTAAAAGGGAAATAAATCAAAATAAAGATTTTGAAAATAATTTAAATAAGGAAGTTCCTAATTATAGAAAACTCCTAATTTAGCAGTCTGATTTATGTCCTTCCTGATTGACATCCCCCCTCAAATTGATTGATTGATCAGGAAACATCAATTTGCCAACAAAAAGCTGATAACACTGTCAGGACCAAAAATTCTGAAGTCGTGAGTGTTGAAGCTGAAAGTACAGAAGCCGAAAGTACAGAAGCCGAGAATGCTGAAACCTAAGAGTGTCGAAGACTGGAGTGTCGAAGTCTGAGAGTGTCGAAGCCGAGAATGCCGAAGCCTGAGAGACAACTCCTGAACCATAACATGATTCGAGAAACGAAAAGTAAGAAATCCTTTATCATTGTCGTCTAGAAATTCGAATAATTGCCACAAGAAGGATTCGCTTCCAGTTACATGATCCAAATGCTATCGATCATAGCCTACAAGTAGGATCCACGTCCTGATCCAAATGCTACACATCATAGCCCACAAATAAGATCCAGTTACAGAATCCAGATGCTATTGACAGATGCTATTGATCATAGCCTTATTGATCATAGCCTACAAGTAGGATCCGCGTCCTGTTATACAATCCAAATGTCATTGATTCTTCATGCAACGACGGTGACGATTTGTTCCATGATTTTCATGCCAAAAGTGCTGAAGCTGAGATGCCAAAGTCGTGAGTGCCAGTGAAATCAAGTTCATGGTGTTCATCATACCCGTAATGTTGGGGTGCAAAATAATTCTCATACAACTCGCTGAGAAGATCTTCTTTTGGTTCACTAAATTTTGCCTGGTGCCTGAGAAACCATTCATTTCCTCCTCAAATAATGTTATCTCCTAACAAGGAATCATAAAACTTCGGCGTATGATTGTCTTCCTGGAAGAGATCTTCAAGTAGAGAAAAGTCAAAAAAAGGGTTGCGGTAATTAGGGCAATGCATGTAAGTGAAATTGCTCATAGTTTCGGAGAGATTGCTGTCGCTAATCCCAATGTCGCCCGAAGCTAGCAGCGGCTAATAACAAATCGAAAGACCACTGAACGACGACGCCGAAATCAATGTCTTCGTCACAGGAGAGCACCAGAGGACTCGTTGTGGCAGCGGTGGCAGCGGGGAAAGGAATAATGAAGATATAATTAGGCAAGGAAGGGTTTGCAGGGGGATCCTCAGGCGATGAGAGATCGAAGTCAGAGACAGAAATTGCGCCAAAGGTTCTCTTTTGAGGAGACTACCTGGAGCCCGGAGCTTACACAACCAACCACGGTCGCCTCTCAAAGCCCAAACGAGCAAGCGAATAGTCCAGACGAAGCAGCCGAAGCAGTCGAGCGACGCAGACGAAGTAGGCGAGGGTTTTAGACAAACCAGCCAAGCGAGAATCAAGGCAAACAAATAGTTCCTCCCTTCCTGTCTCAGAAGAAGGCCGGTGGAAAGGGAATATTGACAGTCCTCCGACGGCTATCGGTGGTTAGGGCAATAATTTGATCCGATACCATGTCAAGTTTTGAGTGAAATAGGTTGAATACTGAATAGGCTCCATGTCTTTTCCCTTTGCTTTCATTCCACTAAATAATAATCTTACAATCTATTTTAAGTACAAAATATTTTATATAATCTATTTTACGTAACTTAATAATATATATTTCTAATCTAAATATTCAACTAAGAGGAAAATAATTTAGAATAAAGATATTGAAAATAATTTAAATAAGGAAATTTAAATAAGGAAGCTCCTAATAGAAGCTCCTAATAATAGAAAACTCCAAATTTAGTTGTCTGATTTTCGTTCTTCCTGATTGACATATATATGTGCATATATACATGTATGTGTATATGTATGTGCAAATATACATGTATGTGTATGTACACAGACACACACAGACATACATACACACAGCCACACATACATGTAGATGTACATGCATGTGCATATATACGTGTATGTTTATATCTAACTATATATATATATATATATTACAAATATTGGCCAGAGACTATGATACGAGCCAACCAACCTCATATGTCTAAGCACTTGACTGATCCGCACACCAGCGGGATCGAACCCCCGACCCCACGAGACTTGGAACTTACATAGCAGATGTCAACGAAAGAGTCAGAGAATGCGACATGTATGTGTGTTTGTGTGTGTGTGTATGAATTGAGTGGTGTGTATGTAAACGCCCAATTTAATAATGAACAAAACTACCATTAAAAGTTAACATTATACATAGCCGAGTCAAACTTCATTGTGCATGTAAAAAAAGAAAGTTACAAGAGAAGAAGCTTACCATATGACTCTTTCTTCAAGTTGTATCAGCAAAGTAAGCACAAGGGAAAAAACAACCAAAAGTTAGATAGGAAATAATAATTGCAAACATATTGCAGACAAGCTTGCAATTTATCAAATTCAGACGAAATTAAAAAGTACAAAGATTAAAAAAGATTGCATAGGAAGACAGCTTAGACCTAAACCTGTAAAAGGATCTGTGTCATCGACCAACGGAAACCTGACATCACTGACGCAAGCATAACAAGGACGAAACCCCAGAAATCAAATTGTGTCTCCTTCAAAACTGATGTGAATTAGAACTAGTTAGCATTCTGTAGTATCGAGAAACCAAAATAACTTTATCCACTTTTAATGTAAAACAAACAAACACACTTCTTTCATTCCAAACAATAATTTCATAGTCATCAAAACCTGAAATTCCGCAACAACAATAGTGAACAGATAAAATTTCAATAACAATCAACATTTACACTATTGAAAGGAATCCGATACAAATCATAATTGACAAATTTTAATAATATGCAAAAACTGTCCACTAAACAAACTAATAATAAGAGTAGTGATAAATCACCCAAAAGGAAGATACAATTTGCCATGTTGATGCAACGAGATACGCCCTTGGAAGTAATCATTAAGGCCTCATGTGAGACTTAAATCATTTAAAATGTAAGTCAATTCAAAGCCTCTTATTTAGAAATGTATTGTGGGTCTTCAATTCTAGGTTGTCCTTTATATGTCTTATGCCAGAGGAAGTCGAAAAAACAGCGCAAACACACTAAGCGAATTTTTATTAATATAAAGATAGGGTTACAACGCAACATAAACTGAAGATAACAGCACAAAACCTAAAACAACACAAACATACACCTCTAAGTGTATTCCAAGGGCAGTGGAGGTCGGCTAGGTGGATCGGGATGGCTAGCAAGATGATGGCAGCGAGAGGGAGGTGCAGAACTGCAGGGACAGCAAGTATGGAGGGTTGCACGTGATCGGCGGTAGATAGTGGGATAGCCAGGAGGTGCAGGACAGCAAGGCAGCGACAATGGGATGAGGAACAGGGGGTTGAGAGAGTTGGGAAGAAGGTAGGATGGCTGCATGGATAGCAATAAAAGACTTTAGGTAAGAAGCAGCAATGTGCTGGAGTAATAGATTGGCGGCTGGACAACAACACTGTTGTCTTAATGTGGACAGGAAGGCCCATAGGTGGTCGGTGGCTAAGGGGGAAGAGAGGAGAAGGGTTAAGGGAGAAGTGAAGGAATATATAACACCATCTCAGAGTAGGATATAGTCATAGCACCACCATCTCAGAGTAGGATATAGTTGAAGCACCACCACCTCCTCGGATATAGCCCTATAACGAGAAAAGAACTCCACAAAGAAATATAACAAAAAACACAACAAAAACTAACCCTGAACTCTATAAAAAACAAATAAATAGCTCCTACATGAATGTAGCAAAGAAAGGAGGATAGCGGCGAGCGGCAATCCCATCCCGTCAAAATCCCGCCTCAGGACGCTCGGCCTAGGTTCACCATGCACCGGCCCTCAATTGGACTAGTCAGGTTCAGTAGTGGGAAAATTCCACATCCAGCATTAGTGCGGGAAGCCCCACATAAGTCTCCCAAGGTTGGGGGATCTTCGACCTCATTTGTCAAGCCTAAATTCTTGGAATGTGGTATAATTTTTAAAGCTCTTATGTTTTGGAGTGTGAATCTTGTGTCAAAGCGCTTTTATTAAAAGCCCCTCATCTCAATGTTGCTTGTATCTTTAAGGATAACCTGCTAGGAGATTCTTGGCTCGTTCCACATTTATTTATCAAGTTGCATCCGTATTAGTTATGAGATAATTTATAGATAAGGGAGGATAGACCTTTTTCCTTTTCTATAACTTCTAAGGTGATTGCTTGAAGCCAACCTAAGAGATTATCATAAAACCACCATTGTTTTGTTTCCTTAAACCCACTAAAACATGTCAACGTCATTCTAGATTACGGTGGTAGTTTTTGGAGTTTATTGTCAGGCTAGAGCTCTCGTAATGTCATGAAAGCTAAAATCATATCGGTGACCAACTTCTCCTTTGCGTTCCTCTAGAAAATGAAACTTTGTTTGGGCGAAATCTATGTCATTTGTGAAAGCATTCAATGGCATCCTTGTAATTCATAAATTGAAGGGCAGCTGATTTAGAAATTGTTAGATTTTCATCACAATCAATAACAATAACAACAACAACAAAAACAACAACAAGGCCTTTATCTCATTAAGTGTGGCCGGCTATATTTTCATAACCATCAGCATACAAGAAATTAATTACAACCAAGATCATCAGTTAAATTTGTAAAAAAAAGAAACTTCAGTTTCACTATGCAAATCTCAAATGAAATCGTGTTATTTTAATGAAAAGAAAAAAAAAGTATATAATCTTCATTCTCAATTAAGCATGGAGAGATCAAAACAGTAATTAATCTTGAAAGCAATAAAACAAAACCAGTCTCTTTCTACATGAGTGTGGAAGAATTTTACATTTTTGGAAGCATTGTGGGCCATCATTAATACCTTCGACTAAGACTCCAATGCAAGAAAATTTTAAATTTTTTACAATTAAGAGTCTCTTCAATTAAGTAAAGTAACAATGAATAATGCATTCAAATCATGAAGATTTTGGGCCCACCTTTTTCACCGAAATACTATTTAATAGTTATATTTGAATGCTTACAAATAAAGGGTAATTTGTATGAGAAAATCAAATAGGGTTGATTAATGCATTAGCGTTCCTTGATGTGAATGTAAAGTAGAGCTTCTAGCTTCCTCCTGCATAATATTTGTATCTCATTTTTGTTTTTTTCACCTTGGAATAGTTATATCCCATCTATCTTCTTTATGTTGTCAAAAGTAGCCCATATTTCATCCCTATCACTTATGGTCTTTAGAATACACTCAAAACCCGGTTGGGTTTATTCAGGCAATAAATAAAAGTAAAATTAAATTATCACTAAAAAATGAACATGTCCTATCAAGAGATTAAAATTTCTTATCTTTATTGAAAATATATAGACACTAAATTCTATGAAACAATAACCCAAATAAGTGGCATTGCACAAACAACAGTGCATGATCAAACAATATATCACTTAAATATCAGACATCTTTTCAACTATGAAAATAATAATAAATCTTAACCATATAGAGTTAAAAACAAAGCCATTTTTCAATTAGAGAAATAAAAAAAATCCTGGGGTATGTGACCATTCACACTAGCCAACTACCAATCCATCCCTTTCTATTTATAAACTAAGGGTCTGTTTGGGGCAGCTGCAGCTTATTCAAAATCAGTTATGAAACTGGTAAATAATAATTTGAAGCTCACAAAGTTGCGGTGGCTATTACAATTTTTTTTAAGTCAGACCGCAGCTACAAAGTTGTCACCGCACCTAGCCAGAAGTGGTGGGGAAACGTATGTTTCAGAGGTAGCTTTTTGAAAAAACTGTCAAAACGCAGTTTACCCAAGCAGACAAAACAGTGGTGCCGACCCAAACAGACCCTAAGCTTACAAGATTTTCATTAAAAAAAATCAAATTTTCCACGATAAAAAAAGTCATTAAAAAAGAGAGAGTTGAATAAATTGTTAGCGTGCCCTAGCTTGTAATTCATTTCTAACAAGAAAAAGGAAAAGAATAGAACAAACAAGTAGCTTGATGCTTCTGCCCCATGTCTCGTCACCGCAAACATGCAATTCCTCCTAGGCCTGCAACTGCATGAGAAAGCTTATGTGCTTAATGGAGGTGGTGATGAGATCCTATTTATCTCACACATTTCCTTCACATTCTCATCTTATAAATAAAAAATAAGGAGAATCATAAATTTAAAGGAGTAATAAAAAAAATTCATAGTGTTGGGAAACTTTAAGGGAAGGATGAAAAGAGATCTTGATCGTTCATCATGTTCTCCCTCATATTTAAAGGGACTTCTTCAAGTCATTTATACACAAATAGGAGAAGATATAGACCTTCAAAAATGATAAAGATGAAGGGGGAGAACAAGAGGGAGAAAAGAGATGGAAGAATGAGATTATGCTACTTCCATCTATTCACTTTCTACCACTTTAACATAAAACAATGATGTCTCTAGTTTGTATGGAAAAAATAAATAAATAAAAATATAAATATAAAGAGTACTCTTTCTCATCATATTTCTACATAAGTTTATGAAACCAACCTTTTCCACCAAAGAACAAGGGCTTTCAAAACCCTAGTACAAAATTAAGATATAGTAATGTAAAGGTAAGGATAATGGAAGAAAAGGAAGATCAACCAATTTGGCTTATTCAATATACTTTTACTTTTAATCAGAATTCGGGATATGAATTCTAAAAATGAGACAGATAGTTGAACTAGCAGCTCTGTTTGATTATCTGATTTTTCTATATGATAAACTTAGAAACTACAGAGATAGTCTAAGACTGGCTAATTCGTGGAATGAAACTGTTTGCAAATTTCTACATCATTTTATCTAATGCTTAGATGTAACACTCAAAAGTAGTTTCTTTTATTTATTTATTATTTATAATTTATTTTCTTAACATTCAAAAGCAGCCTATGAGTTCACAAAATGAACAGAACAAAACATAATTAAACAAGCACAAAGTGCTTTTTTTAGAAAGTGCTCATAAGAATAAATGAGAATCTGAACTCAAACATCCTAATGATGTAATTTTGCAGAAATAACCAGAAATAAGTTTGATGTTGAATTCTAACTCATTCACATGCAGAATTCTTTAAGTATTATAAAGATAATGAAGAAGTTATGACATACCAGTTAATAGAACTCCAAATGAAATAATCAAGATAATTCCAAGAAGCTTAAAACTGGGAGTCTCCAGGCTGTGAAATGGTAAGGATTATGAAGTCAAATATAAAATTTCAAAACGAATTTACATTGGTTGTTAACAAAAATCATCTTCAAATCCCACAAGTAACCAGTTATTAGTGATTCGATTGATTGTATAAAGAGTTAACGCAGAAATTAAAGTGAAAAAACAGGACTACCAAATCCAAGAAATCCGGGGAGCTAAAAAAAACATAACAAATCATCAAGGTGTAACTTTTATCTCATAAAACTTACCGAAATGCAAAAGCAAACAAAAGGAGAAATATTGGAGAAGCGGATTTGCACTGCAAATCAGAGTATGCAATTATTAAAACAAACACAAGCAAGTTTAACATGTCAGCAAATTGACAAACCATTGTTGCAAATGTCACTGATATGAACACGAGTGAAGCATTGCTTAGGTTTATGTCCAATGCAGTTCCAAGAGCTGTCGGTACAACTGCAAAAAGTGAAATTCATCTGTGTCATGAGAATCTAACTAAGGGGTTGTATTGTAACAGATTTAGATAGGATTTAATTTAAATCTCGCCGGATAGAAAAAATAGCAATTTTACATTTAGAATTTAGTAAATTCAATTCCTTCTCAATTTTTTCTCTGTTTTGCCTTAAAATCCAGATTACAGGATTTACTAAAGTTGCTAAGCAATAGAAAAAAGGAGCATTTACATACATACCAACCAAATCCTATGTGCTTACATATCTAACACCTAAACTTTGCTTTTTACATTTATAAAACCCAAATCTTCCATATCACATCCAAAATACCAACATTTTAACTTTTAAAAATGAAATTCACCTTTTCATGCATAGGAAAAATGGTATGCATTTAAAAATTGAAGTTTAATTGTTAGATATGAAAATGAATCGGAATGAGTGGTATGTACGTAAATGGGTAAATGTTCCTAGAAAAAATGAAGGCAAACCACAAACTATTTGCCGACCAATATACCTCTGAAAAAGTAATCCTTCCATGTCATTGTAGAAATTTTTTCAGAACGGCGAGAAAGGAAACAAGTAATGACCTTTGCCAGAACAGCTTGCAGTGAAAAATGAACAGTGTTCATCAACAATGGGGCTGGGAACCGTCCGAGGTCATCCCCTAACAGTGTCTTATTATACCTAATCCGCCGCAGTAACCAGTAAAATTATAACATAATAAACCAAGTTAATGAAGCCCAAAGAAAATAGTATAGATTGCAGCACAGCTTCCAAGCATTCGAACACTCACAGCGTCAACCAGGTACTGAAGATGTACCAAACAAGTATAAAGAACAACGTCTTAAGCACAAGGACGTAATTAAGGGAGTTCTGCTCTGCCTCCAAACTTTCCAGCTTCGCAACCGAATCGCTATTATGGACGCTGTTCTCACTATCAAAGGATAAAGGTATATACCTCTTCCCATCCCCATTGCCCTCCAACGAAGCCATGTTCATGCTCCGCTGCCTAAAATCATTCGACCATTTACCCCCAAAGCTCGGATGCGTTCTCTCAGATCCCCCAACTTGAAGAAGCGGAAGATCAAATTCCTCGGATCCTTCCGCAGTACCGCATTCACAAGATCCGTCGGTCGCTGGAATCGAGCGACCGAATACCTCTTCCTCGTCGCACCACCGCGAGAATGAGGGTTCCTTGCAAATCACCGGCATCTCAGTTCCGTCGCTGAGGGAGCTTCTGCAGACCTCAGCTTCATATGATGAAACCGATTTTTCTTCTCCTTCGTTCTCCGGTATTAGATCGTTCTCTCCCATCTGCTTCCAAAAGAGGATACCTCCAGCTTAAGAAAAAATTGGGAATCGACAGCTTCCCGGCTTTGAGCTCGGCAACAGCAGATGCAACGGATTTCTTGGACAATGGGATCTGAGAATAAACTTTGCCTCTGCTGTAGAAGAAGGGATTGGAATATGAGTGTTCCTGAAAAGGTTGGTGGTGCTCTGGCTTTTTCTCCGTTGGGGAGTCGACGTCGGTTGGAGGAGGTGGGAGCTCAGGCCAATTAGGAAGAAGGCGTTTTATTACATGGATATCTTCGCCTTATCGCTTCCATGTTTGCGAAGGGAAGAAACAGGCAAAATTTAACAATGAGCAGTGAGATTATCGGAGGTTATGAAAGAGGAAAGACATTTATATATATACCACCTAATTTCTATATATTTCTATAATTAATATTTAAGTTTTCCTTTTTATATTTATGTCAATTAAATCTTTCATATTAAATAAAAATATTATTATTTTATCTTATAAGAAATAAAATATAAATTTTCATGCATAATTACATAGATGATGGGATAAATATACAAAAATTGAAGTTTAGAGGTTAGATATGTAAATACATAAGAATTGAATGATATGCATGTAAATATGAATAATAAATTGCGAAATATGAACCACTCAGAGGAGTTGTTGAACATATATTTTACTAGTTTATTAATCTACATTATATATATA